CCGGTTCTTCTTTAATTTCCGATAAAGCTGATTGATACACATTATTTATAGCAATATACATGCTTGAGACGATATAATATCAGTTCCAAGAGAAATTCAAAGTCCGATTTGCTTCCGCTTTCATTATGCGAACGGCTAGGGAGTGGACCTTCTTGCCGAGGTCCGTTTTCTCGGACCAATATAATCTGGACATCTTCCAGGCCAGAGTGAAAAGGCATCTTCTAGGCAGGCGTGTACCATCCTAGGCCTCATCATCGCTTTCCATCAGGCGAGATTGTGGTCAGACGCCTTGCCTATTATGCATTAAAAAAAAAGTTAAAGATAAGAAAATTATAAGTTTGACGTATTTTTATACACTAGGTACAGTTGTAGTAAGGTCCAATCTGTAAGTCCTGTGGGCACCAAAAAACAGGTCCAAGGGGCACACATCGAATACAAAATTTTTAAGAAGGTCCAATAGGCTATATAAATGAGGTCCAGTGGGCACTTTTTGCTTTCGTGTCTAATCTTGAGTCTGTCCAATGAAGTGAAGTCGGTCCAATGGGTATTGGTTGGACCTTTTAGAGATTAAATGAATAGTATTGTCGGTCAGTTGCTATTGTTTTAGATTTTGTTTATAAATTTCATTCTGCATATCGTCTTCAGAAGTGAAATACCTACCTACGAGTGAATTAATACAATTCCAAAATGTCAACTCGTGTTAATATATTTTTAACTAACATTGGTCTTTATAAGTAAAGGTAAAATCTGTTAATATCCTAGAGCTTATTCTATTTCTCTCTAGACTTGTGCACTGTTGCGGATAACAAGTTTTTATTCCGCTACCTACTTGATTACGTACTTACTTCCTATATTGATTTCTTTAATTGAATTACTTTTCATTATTTATGGGATATTAAAGTGAGATAATTTAGACGTGATAAAATTGATTGCGCTAAAAGAAACTCATAGTAGGTGGATATTTAGCCTCGTAACGTGTGGGTGTAACACTGGGAGCGCCGGGGTTTGCCCTCATTTCCACGTAATCAATATAATACCGCTCTTTGTAAAAACTAAGAGGAGTAAGAACTTTCCTTTCGATCGTCATCATTACTAATTTTCATTTCGTATTTATAGATCATATACACTCACATCGTGTTGGACTTTGTACTAATTTTATTCAGACTTAACGCGGTTTGCTCACATTTAAATTTTAACCTTCTCCTCATGCTCTGGTCAAACACGCCGAATATCTACAAGGTCAGCACGTTTCTACAGTTGACAGGTGTTATGTGAATATTTATATTTAAAAGTGTAAAATGGATTTGCAAACTTTGGTGTCGCGACGGAGACATTGGAAATAAAAGGTGGACGAGACTGAATTGAAGTGCGTCGGAGTAGTGTTGTCGTGCTGCTTAGCAGTGTCGTTGGAGGCGTGAGGCGGGTGGAGCCGATGGTCGCGGCTCGGGCGCGTCACGGCGGAGGGCTTTACGGGCTCGGGCGCGGGGTGCGCGGGCGGCTCGCGCGCCTCGCCGCCACCCGGCTTCGATCGCGAGCTCTTCCAGGAGTTGAGTCACCTTCCCGACGCGGAGCTACGAGAGTGCCTCGGCGAGTACCCCGACTTTATCTACCACGTGGCACGCGACAGATTCGGCAGACTCTACTTTCGTGTCGTCCGGAGCTTGCTCCTTAATAGAGGTACGCCACGATCGCTTAGGTGTTCAACGTTGGATCATCCCCTGTGCTCGCTACACCGCTGTCTCAGATCATTTAGCTTTCCACGTTCTCTGTCTGATCCACTGTGATTCATTTCATGTGCCTTTGCAATGCTTATTAACATATATATATAGTTATTAGCTAACATTTAATTGAGCTGGCTAGTTATAAAAAAGGGAATGTAAATTACGTGTTTGATATAGGAATGCTTTACTGAATTTGGGCTATCATAGACACTTATCAAGGTCTTTTACAAGGTAGTGTTCTGATATCATTGTTTTATCATTGGTATTATTTTAAACCCGGTACTAGGTACTTAATACATTTATTAGACCACTCGGTTTATCCTAGTAATTGAGGAACAATCAGTACTTTATAGAAAAATCATATATTATATGAAATTATTAGATACTTTTATGACTTTTGTATAGGCGAATAACAGTATTTCTGTAGCAGTAGCAACGTACCTATTAAGTATTAAGCTAACAAACTAAATATTTATCCATGTAATAATTGGGCATTGTGTTGGTAAATAAAAGCAACAGTAACGGTAGTATTCAATGTTTTAAATTTAGGATATACTAACGCGTTTCTACAATAATTTCATTTATGATCTGACAATACTCTTTTATTTATCTATTCTGAACAAGCCAATAAAACCCAACTAAAATTATTTATTTTCAATAAAGTAAAAAATGTATGAATCAAATTAAATGAAATTACAAAGGTCGATTAGAACTGGAGTCAGTTAAAAAAAATATCTTTCTATCGGCATGAGCCAGTATCGGATAGACACCTATACAATATTAGTATCCGGATTACGAACATTGTCATGTCATACATAACATTTGATTCAATGTGTTGTCTGTATGACATCTACAAAGAGAGTGAAAGATTGCTGATCGTATTCAAGTTACCCATTGTTCGCATTAGCTGTAAATATTTAATGATCACATTACCTACTGTAAGTTACGTCTCATCACACACACGGAAAAACTGCTTCGTAAAAACTGTGAAATCTTCACAGCTCCATGTGTGTAACACGGGCACAATCGATATCCGTTGTAAACACCGTGTTAGGTAAGAATGGGAAACTACTCCCATCTATCTTATTGTGATATCAGAGCTAAAAGTTGTTCTCATATTTTTATATAAATACTGAACTTTTTATGTTATCTGAATAATTTAAACGAATCCATTGTCTATTGAGTGTTCACAATTAACAAGCAACAAGCTTTTCATTTTCCAAAACAATTAGTCATCTTTTAATGGCCTATCAAAGGATTACATAGATAACGTTTGATACAAGTTGCAGACGTAGGTAGAAGGTCGTTTATTTATACGGCGGCGCATGATAAAATTCTGTCTACACAACGTAAAAATATGTTACTATTCATCGGCAAGTAAATGGTTGACATAATTGTCTTTTGTGTTTTAAAGTTTCCCACATATGTGTAGTTAGTACAATGGAATAGATTGTTTTGCTCGCCCTCCACGAGTTAAATGAAACGCGGAGCGTTTATTGACTGTTCACGGAGGCAGTCACTTGCTCGATCGGGAGCTCTGCACCGGTGTTTGTCGCCTGGGTTGCTTTATTGATACAACTGCTAGCCTGGTACATTGTCCTCGGATTGTTGAATATTATGCTATAGTCATAGTCTGCCCGCGCAGTACTGGTTCGATGAACGCTCAAATGCCGGATACGGATGGCGGTGACCGGGGTCAGTTCTAGTTATACTTGATGTAAATACTAGTGTACGAATCGCTTACAGCATGATTACCGTATCTTATCAGCTGTCGGAACCGGCAATCCGTGGAGTACTCCATTTGGTCTTCACAGTTGAGTGCGCCTCACTAATACGCTGTTTTGCGACACTGATTCGCCACTTCAGAAGTATTTATTATTGAATTTATCAGCAGCCCATTGTGTTGTGACTATTGTGATCGTTTCGTAAAGTGAAAAACTACTAAGCTGATTTGTAAATATTATTTTTTACGAGTTGGTTTTTCGAATGCTACTAAATGGTGAAATTATTTCATAATAAAAAAAACAGACTGAGAAGAAATTGTTAACTTAAATAGTAAAAATCGAAAAGCACCTGATGGGAACCATTGAAAGCGAAGTGTTTGCAGAATAATGTCATATTTGAAATCCCAAGGTAGGTATGAATGTAGTCAGTGAAAGAAAATTTAAAAAAAAATTTAAATCTAAAGAAAATTTATTTAATCTTGGATTATTGATTTTAAATAAAGTTTTATTAAAAAAGTTAAACAAAAATCTGAATTATTGACGGAGAATTTATTATCTTTTTACACAGAGAGTGCAGATTCTGTTACTTGAATGATTCTTCTGTAGTAAATATTTATTTTCCGTCATTTAAATAATAATTTCTTGTTAATCTTGGGTCAGTTAATCTATGTTACATAAAAATGTATAAAATAATGTATTTATTTACTATAGTTTGCATTGAATGTGTCTTTTTCTCCTGACTTTATTTTTTTGCGAACTGTTTGTTCCCAAAGAAATAGTTTGATGCACTATCGTTGGCACTATTTTTATCCTGAAATCTATGTAACATTTGCTGTTTCGAAGCTGAAAAACTAACAAGCAAACCTTTCTGCACCTTCGAATAATTTTGTTTTAATAATCCTAATTGAGTAATGTAATTAGTAGGATTATAATTATTATCTTGACCGAAATATAGTATCGCATGCACTGTCCCAGCACTCGAACAATCACGACTACCCACACGGTGCTTATACGTTATTAACCTCATTTCGATTGGCCAGGTATTTAGTTTCAGGTGGTTACAGTAGCCTATTAAGATTTTGTTACAGTGTAAATTTACCTACTCGTTAATGTATTATGTTATACAATAGACTACTATGTAGTAATGACACATGTAACTATATTTATATTATTTACTTATTGTCTTAGTTTGATCATAACAATGACTTGGTAAATAATTATAATAATCGGTTGTTCCATCAAGTTTTTTTTATCGGTATTATATATCTTTCTACAGTACTGTATTAATAAACATACATTAATGTGATAAGTACTTTCACAAAGGAATGTTATCAATACCATTGTAAGCTTGAAAACAGCGGTCCGTTTCGTTATGATTATGATACCTTTTAAGTTTACCACCTGCCGCTATTCTGAGCACACGTAATTACTTTGCTCAGGTAATAAATTGATTTGTAATGTTTTCTCATAATGCTAATTTTATCAATAGGATTCAACATTTCTTGCGAATTTTCGCATAACTTATAATATTGTAAAGTGTTTGTTCTGGTTGCAGTTCTATGCAGCAACAGGGTGAGCCAAATGACAAAAACCTACAATGACATCGAAGCGGTAACACGGCTCTTAGAAGAAGTAAGTTCCTTTCTAGTTTACATTTATGTAAATGTTTATGATTGTCAAGCTTTGCCTTGTTGTTACTTCTAGGTACTTGTTGAATAAGTAGTTACTTCTTTAGAATTCTGTTTACCTTAATTATTTTTAAGAAATTGCATGAAATTAACTAATTTGGTAAAACAAATTATTAACTCCCCAAACAACTGGTATTAACGTGTCTTCTCATATTTGTCCCCAGAAAGAGAAAGATTTGGAGTTGACTGCTCGCATCGGTAAAGAATTACTGACCACGAATGGACGATTGGAATCACGAGTCACAGCTCTCGAAAGCGATTTAAAAAGCGCTCGAGATCTTATCACCCAACTGAGGCACGAACTTAACGCCAAATCGGATTTGCTACAGGTTATTATTAATGAGACTGTCTATTAAAATAGAAAATTTAGTTTGTAAATATAGAGGACTAAAAGTTTCAAAAGATGGACATAGAAATTGCTTTTCCATATACTTAGTAACTGTCTAAAATGAACGCGGCGTATTAGGTGATATCAGACTTCTTTAAATTCGGTCGTTATTAATTCTTAATTATTAAGATTTTTTTAATTAACGGTCTTTCAGGTTGTTGTGGACATAACTATCTAATAGAAAAAATAATTCAGCTGTCCACCTCGTTTTTCATAAGAAACAATCAATTACAACCGGCGTAATTAAAAAAAAATGAGTAGGCTGCACGACCTTACTCAAAGGTCGAACGAAGCCTCTAAAGAAAAAAAAAGTTCACTTTAAGATCACTACTAGATCTACTGAGCCAGCGAGTAAATATAAAAAAGTCCAAGTAAAAGGGCCGGGTGACATAGCATAGTACGTAATGCGTGTAGGTTTAAACAAAATGACGCAGACGTGGAGATCTCACCGACGTAGAAATAGGCGGCTAGTGCGGCGGCGGTCGAGCGTAGCCAGTAATTTAAAAAAATCAGCCATAACACAAAGTAGATGAGCCGGGTGACATAGCGTAGTTTGTATCTCGTGCAGGTTTTTAACAAATGACACAGCAGTGGAGAGCTGAGCTCACCGTCGGAGCAAGAGGCGGCTAGTGCGGCGGCAGTCAAACGTAGCCAGTAAAAAAAACATTTGTATTGTTGATTAGTAAATAAACATTTGAATTTCACCAAGTAGATGGATGGACCAGGTGATAAAGCATAGTTCGTATTGCGTGCAGGTTTTAACAAATGACACAGAAGTGGAGATCTCACCGACGGAGCAAGAGGCGGCCTGTGCGGCGGCACTGCGCAAACGCACCGGAGCGCTGGAGCGCGAGAACCGCGCCCTGCGCGACGAGGCCTCGCGCCTCGCCGCTGGCGCCGACAGCGCGGAGCTGGCGGAGCAGCAGCTTCTGCGCGATATCGCGCTGCAACTCAGTAAGTAGCCTTTCTTTATAAAAAAAGCACACATGGAACACTCGGTTGTAACCTCAGAACAAGAACTAAAGCATAGAAAGAGTTTAGATTCAACTCATAAAGTCATCTAATATAGTTATCTTATTTTTTACATAAAACCAAAAAGGGACAAATATATGTTGCTATGTAGAGCGTCCGTTACAATAAACAAACGTCAAATTGGATACCTTTGCTGCTTTTTATGCTTTGTGGAAACCTTGGTTATCTCTACGATACCGAATCAAAAAGCGATCTAATGTCAAATGCAACCTGTCAAAACGCCACTAATACTTTTTGGTTGGATAATACTTTCTTTATTGATATTGGTAATCTTTTTTCTATGGATGAGTGTACGCACAAACGTCATAGCATTCTATGTGTTAGTTATTGTTCTGAGATTGCAACGAATGTTTAACATAAACATAAATAAAAGTACACAATTACAGACAATTCTCTACGAAACAACTGACGGTTGTGACGAAAAAATCTTACACATTTTTTCGCCTTGCGAAACGAATTACCATTATTAAAAAACAAGCTATATTCGCGAGCTTAGCTTCGGTTGCAATACCATCAAAAAATCAGCCTATTGATTTATTTCATACAAGCCTTGTATTCATAATAACAAATATAACAAAAATAATTGTACTATCCATTTTAGTGCAATCTTTCGCAAGTTATGCGTATAAACATTTTTATTGAAATATTTGCCTGAGAATGACGTGTAAACAGACTATGTATACAAACTCGTAAGTTGTTTGTTTGTTGTAAGCATAATATAAAGCCAATAGGTAGATATTGATGTCGAGGTGAGAATCAACTCCACCCAAGTGTGAATTTTATTATAATATGATCATGTACTTGGCACGTGTAAACTGTTATCTAGGAAAATGTCACAATCACATTAAAATCATTAAAAAAGAAAAAAAAATATGGTGATGTTGATAGATTGCTTTGCACGAAGATAACAGCAGTTTATACATATTAAAATACTAGCTTCCGCCCGCGACTTCTTTGTCTTTACGGCAGTTTTTTTTGAGAATTCCACAGGAATCTTACTTTATCCAGGATAAAAAGTACACTATGTGTCAATCTAGGAAATATACTGTATATTTGGCAAAAATTTTAGCGTGATCGAGTAACAAACTGACGACCTGCGACCTCCGTGGCCGAGTGGTTTGTACGCCGGGTTTCAAGGTGTCGCCTACTCGAGAGGTCCCGGATTCGAATCTCGGTGGGTGCAGATGTTTGTGTGATGTACTCACATAGTATTTGTACTCCAGTCTCAGTATACTATATACTTTATACTCAGTATAAATATACTTATATATGTATCAGTATATGTATTCTATCCATCACAAGCCTTACAGTGCATTTTGTGTACTTTATGGCTAGGCTAATTGGTGCGAGTGTTAAATAAAGAAGAAATATTGTAAATATTGAATATTGATATTGATTGATAATTGACAAACATCCGTACAAACTTTCGCATTTATAATAGTAGCAGCGGATTAGTAGGAAGTATGTTAGTACGATATTCGTAGGATTCATAATATTAGTTGGATAGTAGGATAAAACAATTCGTCCGGATGTGTATGAGTTTCTATATAAACATTAAAATTATGCCTTAGTGATATATAAAAAATATTGATATTCATTAAAATTTACAAAAAGTAGTAGTAAAAGTATTTCAAATATATTAAATCAATCCATTTAAAACCAATTAATTCAAAATATCGCGTCTGTTTCCCAAATAAAATTATCATTTAATTTAGATTTTTACCACATTTTTTATGTTTTAGAAGTTATTTTTATTTTTATACCATTGTTCTAGTCTTCAAACAAATTGAAATTCACAACTCTATCTAGATTAAGTTTTAGATACCCACAATATTTTATTTGTGAAAATGTCAAATACCTTTTTGTACATTATTATTGTATAAATTTAAAATGAAAGTAACACCGCTGTAATTGAAGTTTAGGTACTTTTGCTAAGGTGCCTGATGTCCAGTGTGTATTTCCATTTTTATATTTAATATTGAACACTTTATGTGTCATTACTAGTCATAAAAGTCATTTATTTTCTGCAAAAAAGCTTATAAAAAGCTCTTACACCCTCAATATTATTTTATCCCTACCACTGCGGGAAATAAATGGGCCAGTGCTAAGAAGATTATTAGGTACGTGAAGATCATGTTTCAATCATAGAGAACTGCCATTGAAGAGATACAAGAATGATTACAAGAAGCAACTTGGATGTTATGGAATATATCGGTAAGGTGGATCAAGGTGGCCTAGCAGCGTGTTTTCTCTAAGGTTTGCACCCTGTCAGACCATACTTGTTTCAACTTATCCGTTGTCATCGGAAGATATCGATAGAATACTTGGATTGTACCGAAGAAGATGTCAACATCATTAAAAATATTCGTATGACACAAGACATTTCAATAGACATGACTCATTGTTGGAAAATAAATAGAAGCTAACCTGAATATCGCTAAAGAGCACAGCACGATTTTATTCTATTTACATAACACGTACTTTGAGAACAGATTTATTATTGACGTTGTTGTTGGCGCACGCAAAACATTTATATACGTACTTTTTGTTGCCAGTTTATAATAATTTTATTTAGGAAATGAAATAGAGTATTGTATTGTTTTGTTTAAAGTAGATTTTTCACTTAATATACTGTTATATGTTTGCAAAGTTACATTTGTTTATGATTCATTATTTACGTTAATTTGTGATAATTATAGAAGTGACCTATGATTCCGATTAGTTCCATTGACTCGTCAAGGTTTTAACTTTGTTTGCAAATGTGTTTTTGATGATTGTAACTGTAATTACAATTACATTTTTAAAAACACTTCTGTAATGGTAATAATTATACACGATACTTTTTGTAATGTTGAATGAGGGTCTTCTCGTAACAAAATGTAAAGTGACCCACTTGATAAGATTGTATAGAAAGATAAAGATCGTTCTTATTAAAACTCATAACTGTGTCACTCAGCCGTCTCCTTCAAATTGGGAAGTGACATAATAGCTTATATTATAGTTTATCAGTAATCTGTTTTGTGAAGCGTTACAAGCACTTGTACATTGTCAAACGTTCAGAGACGTTATCGTAAACTATTATTAAAAGGAAGTGATTGTCTGCTCTTTGCTTAATATTCTCTCAAGAGTACGAACAAAGAATTCATTCAAGTTTTTTGCCACTTTGTTCTCAATATTTCGCAGTATACTTAATTAAACATTGCGTATTGTTAGTTTTTATACAGTAATTGCTACATCTAGTTGTTTGCAAATTAAAAGTTGTAATGATGATATTTTTGTAGTTATCATGTTGTATTTGTGATAAAAATGTGCAATGATAAAATACTATCGTATATAAGCTGCGTTTACAGAAGATAATAGTTGTGCTTATTAAAAATTATGATCTCTTGTATTGGTAATTATGCATTTAAATTTTCTAAAATAATATTACCGATAGAAATCGCATCTATGAATTCACACTATTATCGTTTTGATGTCATATAGTGCTTTGAATATTTATTTACGCAAATACCCCGCTCCATCTTATATTAAGTGTAAGTGGAGTCCAGTCCAGGCCGAACACTATAAAATATTGCTACAGCCATCCTCACAGCTGGGCTAAACCCAATCCTAATTTATTTTTGATAAGATCTTTTTTCCTATGCTGCTTTTTTTTCCGTTCATAGATAATGCCAATTCGGAAGCGAACGCGCTTGGTTCAGAGTTGGCGGAGGAGAGACAGCGCAATGCGGATTTACAGCATCAGCTCGATAGCACAGGGTCGAGGCTCCTGCTCACAGAAAGAAATTTGCAACAGGTATTTATAAAGAAAACTAGCACTGCATTTATAATTTTATTCGGGGCAATGGTATACTTCGCGAAACTAGGCTACGAAAGTCGTAGATGATTTTTGTCATGGGTTTGTGATGATTAATTAATAAGGTTATACGTTTCAGATACCTATTTATATAATAACGACTATTCAACGCTTTGCTAGGTAAATATAATTTGAATTATGAAAATATGAGCCATGGTAACTTGAGATCTTATATACGCATTATTGAGAGGAAGTAATGCAATATTGTCACATTGTAATACATGTGCTTTTGTCCACAGCTAACAGCGGAACATGAGCATACTTTAAGGATTTTAGAGATCACAAAAGACAATCAAAATGCTCTTGCAGCTGAGTTGGCTGACACAAAGGTAAATTTAATTTTGTTATTATTGAGTTTTTTATCAAACAAAGCTTGATAAAATGACTTCTTTTAGTTTTCTGATACTAACCTTACTCAACAGCTGAGCTGCGAAAAAAAAACTTATTTTCAACATATCGAACGTTAAGCATTTAGGTCGTACTGACAAAGACTCGTGCAAACACTATCTCTGGTAATTCCTTTTACATGCAAATGTTGCTGTAGCGGCTAACTTTTCAATTTAAGTTGTACATAACTTTGGCCTGAGTTCTAATTGCTAGCCATAGACAATTATGCTTTGAGGGCAAGACTGCTAATGTATAGTAAGAACAGGCACAGAGATATTTGCTTGATGCCTGCCTGCTTCCCGTTTTCAATACCCGACACAGGGCAGACATATCCAAGTATAAACTGAGTGGGAATAGGAAAAATGGGTCTGACAGATCGCTCCTCAGTTGCGTGCACTGTTATCAAGTCATATGCTATATCGTGCTCGTTTTGTAGCTATTGAGTCATCAAAGCTTTTCTACGTTTTCTTTCTTCGATACATGTAAAATTGTCAATTTAGTTTTGTTTCAAAAACGACATAACAGAGAGACAACCGTTCCTCACAACAGTTGCATGATGCGAAATCACGGATCAGATTTGTGATGTATTGCGTGCGTGTTTGGATGGCTAATAAGTCAATATTTCATTAAGCATGAGATATTTGTCATAAGAAATAATTTGTAGAAAAAAATCCACGCGGACCAGGCAGCAGACGGGACCCGAACCCGCACCCTTCGCAATCTAGGCAAATGCATTGACCAATTATGCTACCGCGGCCCTGATGGCCGTGTCGAAATTCTCCTAGCTTTTTCTTAAGCTGCAAGGCAGCGCCATTTCTTCGCATTGTAGGTAGCCCACAGGAAGCCCCTGGTCTGCGTGGATTTTTTTCGACTTATATTTTCTTTAGATTTGAACATCAAGCAGTAACATGCTGAAAAAATTAATTATAAATAATAATTTGTAGTTGGAGCATACACAGAAAATGACTGAACGACACTCGCATGACATCTCTCTTGAAAGAGAAATAAATTTACATATTCATAGTAGATCTATGAGCGCTCGATCACTTTGTCTCTAACACTTATCTCCTAATTTTGTTATTACATGTGATTAGGGAACAAAAGTGCATCAGCTAATCGATCGAAATGTTTCATACATTGCTTTTTTTTCGCGATTTCAGAGTTGGTCCCATAATAAAAGTTGTTTCTGTTCATGGGTAGAATCACCCCTAAGAGGTTGTTGGTGTTTTAAAATTAACCCTGTATATTCCAGAGTTTTGATAACCTTCATAAAATGATGACAGGAGCGGTATGCTGAAGTGGCAGCTCACCTCGCCGAGGCGCAGGAACAGTTGCGTCAGTTGCGCAAGCGCGGCGAGCCGGTGCGCGGGCTCATGCCCAGCGTGGCAGCGGCGGCCGGCCTGCTGCCCGCTAGCCTGCACCGCGAGATGCACTCCTCCGTGTACTCCGAGCTCAGCCTCGATTCCGGCATCGGCGACCCGCTGGCACAGTCAGTATACTGCTGCGAACCACACTTTATAATATTAACTAGCGGCCACCCGCGACTTCGTCCGCGTTAACTTTACTTTTTTGAGAATCCCACAGGAACTTGACATTTTCCGGGATAAAAAGTATCCTATATCTCACAATCCAGATCATAAACTATATGCGTACCAAATTTCATCCAATTCCGTTCAGTGGTTTTGGCGTGAAAGCGAAACGAACTCTCTTTCGCATTTATAATGTTAGTTAGGATAGCTGTACCCCGCGTATAACTAGCGAGAAAGTATTCGTACCGCCATATCAAAGTTTTTATGAAAACTAAGCAGTGCCCTTACTGGACCTAAGAATAAAGTAGCTGTTTCCATAGAAACTGTGACGGTGACGGCTTTTATTAACCTCCAAAACAACTTTTTTTTCGTTTAACTATAAACTCTATATAGAAGAATTTTCTTCTCTACATAAGACGAAGTTTGTCTAAGGTCCACTTGCAGTAATTTTGTTAAATCTAATTGAACTAAAACTAGATTTAGCCCGTACAATACAAAATTGTCAAATTGTCATTGACAATTTGACAGTATGCTGCTGCAAGTGGACTATAGTTTCCCAATTAAGCATACCGAATCGTTTATACGCTATCGACATGATAAACTTATAGTTATAATAAAAAAAAATAAGCATGTAACTGCTCGATATTTAAATCTGAAGAAAATATTACTAGAAAAAAATCCGCGCGGACCAGGCAGCAGACGGGACGGATGATAAACTTACGTTTATAAAAAACGGTGCCAAGCAAATCAATTCAAAGTAATTTTTGTTTTACAGCTCAAGCATGCAGAAAGTGTTTGAGACGGTGCAGTGCGCGTCACGTTGGTCCGGCGCGTCGCTCTCCGGTTCGGACGTGCCGGACGCGCCCATCTCTAGCGCGAGCGCAACCTACCTGAAGCCGCCGCCCAAGCCGACCAGCGACTCCTTCTTCGACGACGCGTCCGACGTCGAGTCCGACGACCTGTATCCGTGAGTGTTTTTTTTTATACACACTAATTAGCCTAGCCTCAAAGTAAGCACTATAAGACTTGTGTTATGGGATGCTAGGGTAACGGATAGAATACATATATAAGTATATTTATATAGAAATACATATTAAACATCCATGACTGGAGTACAAATGCTTGTATTCATCACACAAACATCTGCCCCTACCGGGATTCGAACTCGGGACCTCTTGAGTTGGCAACACCATGAAACCCAGCGAACAAATCACTCGGCCACGGAGGTCGTCAAATACACTGGTACTAGTAGTAAAAAATCGTAATACACTGGTACGTAGAGAGCTCAGGCGTTGCGGACGTACACGTAAATTGAAGCCAATAAATAAAATACAAAATTAAATAAATAGTTAATAATTTCAGAAATGATCAGTATATTAAAGATATCCGATTGAAAAAAAAATATTACAAAAATAATTGAATGTGCAAATAGAGATTTGAAGAAGATAGCTAGTCAAAAAAATAATGATAACTCAGTGTTGCCCGGAACCTACCAATAAAGGATCCGAAACGTCAAGAATAATGTAGAATTAGACTGGTGTAACATTGTGTATTACTTTCCATTTCAGCCAAACTTTAACTGTTAGTTGATTTATGAATAATATCCTTTTGCATTTCTGAAAGGGTTTAAATAATACGGTTTGTAAATTAGTTTCAAACAAAGAGGTAGGCATTAAGTTTCTTTGTTTTCTCAGTTTTCTGGGTCAGTAGAACGTGCAAGAGAAATGACAGATTACGAAGTAGACTTACAAACAGTGACATTATCTTTCACCCGATTTACATAAATATGTAAAAATATTTTTCATATGAAATGTATTTTGCCTGCAGATGTCTGCAGTGAATGAATTATCATTTTTCGATTTTGAATTAAGAAATACAATCCGAAAAATTATATTCATTTCGGATTCACTCTAATTAAGACGTCGCGTGTGGGATAATAAAAGTCGAAAATGGAAGTCGAGAGCGTTATAAAAGCGCTTACGTTGGCATTTTAATCTCTATTTCTTGTAGTGGCAGACCAGGCATGGGAGTCCGGGTGCGGCGGAGTTAGCGGCAGCTCAGAGGCGCCTCAACCAAAAGAGATCAGATCTCACGTACTTAGGCATAGATACCCCATGAGTGTATTTTTTTCGTGGTCATCGCTCTAATTTAGACGTTATGTGATAGACGTAAAGCGGAAAATGTCGAGAGCGTTATAAAAGCGCTTACGTCTATATCTTAACCACTATTTCTTGTTGTGCCGAGCCAGGTGAGGGAGTGCCGAGAGCTCCTGGCGCGGTGGAATTAGCGGTAGCGTTGAGGCGACTCACGCCACAAGAGATCAGATCTCCCGTACTTAGATATAGATCCCATGAGTGTTAGCACCGGTTCCTTATTTTTGTGGTGCTCTACTTTAGACTTTGCGTGTTGGACTGCTATAAAACCGCTTACGTCTAGATTTTAACCACTATTTCTTGTAGGGGCGGGCCAGGCGTCGGGCTGCTGGGCGCTCCGGAATTAGCGGCAGCGTTGAGGCGACTCACGCCACAACAGATTAGATCTTACGTACTTCGGCATAGAACCCATGAGTTTTCGCACGTGTTCTTTTTTGACGTGACAACGTCTTAAATTAGGTTGCGGCTGGGAGTCACTTATGAAAAAGTGTAACGCTCAGTAACGTTACGATGAGTCTCTCGTGTTAAGTTTAAGTTTACATGTACAATGTTTTAGTAAACAAAATATATTTCTATAGTTAAAATTTGTGCAATTCTTATTTTCATTCAATTCCTTGTTCCTATTGTGCAATTTAATTATATTCATATCAATAAATATTCTACCGAGAAAAAGACGTTGTCACGTAAAATCTTCGCCCGTAAAACCGACTTTACAGGCAACCATTTTTTTAGTGGTCATTGCTCTAGTATAGACTTAGCGTGTTGATTGCAAAGTCGAAAATGAAAGTTGAGAGCTTTATATAAGCGCTTACGTCTCTATATCTTTGTAGAGGCGGGCCAGGCGTGGGAGTGCCGGGAGCGCCGGGCGCGGCGGAGTTAGCGGCGGCGTTGAGGCGACTCACGCCACAAGAGATAAACTCGCGACGCGCCTCGCTCGCCGCATCTCACATCCTCAGGCATAGGAAACACAATGGTATGTTCAATTACATAAAACTTAAAGCTGGGTACTCATTCGCGAGCTGTAACCGTAACATGCGTGATACAGTACGGGGTTCTAGTGTGTACGCTTGAAGCTTAGTTGTAAACGTCGATTCGCTGCAAACCGCACCCGTACTGCTCACAGCAGGTAAGCGACCCACGTACACACTATGCTTTTTGGTTACAGTGCATGCAACGGTTACGGTTACAGGTCGCTAATGAGTACCCGGCTTTACATTTAAATGCTATATGTTTAAATCTAAAGAAAATTTAAGACTTAGCAATACTAAAGGAAATGTGTCACGGATATTAGGGTCGCGGCAGCATCATTGGTCAGTGCATCCGTCCGGATAGAGGCGGGTGCGGGTTCGAGTCCCGTCTGCTCTATGGTCCGCGAGGATTTTTATCTAGTAAAATTTTCTTTAGATATAAGCTGCCTCATTACAAAACATAGACTTAACTCAAACCTGGTCTCAAAATAATGCTGTCATTTTTGCATTTGCTAAAAAGAAGACAGAGACAACACCAGGTGTAATTGATGCTCCAGCGATATTTACATGTAATTAGAATTGCATTTATACGGATGGCGCTGTCACAAGCTCTTGTCTGTTTGTCTTATGTTGTAATAGGTCAGTATTCCGTTAAGCACAGTCCATTTTCTATATTGATAAGAATGGAGTGAGTGTTTCTTGTCCATCTGTAATAAATAAACGGGCACGTAAGTGTGAAACAGACGAAGCGATCGTGCTGCCAATATCTCGTATATGTATTTACGCTGTACCATCGCTTTCACACTTTCTAAAGAGTTTTGAATTACGTGCAAGTGTTGCTTAGTCCATTCTTTATATAGGTTAGATTATTACATAATAGGTTATTTGACAGTATGATAAATGAAGTTCCAATTGTTGGCGTTTGTATTTGATATGAATTTTAGCAGCAATTATATTTCTGAGTAAATAAATAATAAATAACCTTTTCTAAAAAAACATTAAATATAAATAATTTTATGATCTATAATCACGTGACGGAATACATCTTGGATCGGCGAAGATTAAAATGACGTAACATGCTGGTAAGCTTCCGGTCAAAGTGACATTACATTGTATCGTTTGACGTTTTAATGACATTCGTGTGACGTCACACACAAGTGAGATAATGTCCAAAGAAACGTTTTGTGTGAAATACACAACAGAAACATGAATATCGTTTTATGGACTCTACAAACATCAATAAATAAAGTGATATCGTTTACTTTAACTTGTCAAATACCCTATTACACTATTACAGGCGCTTTCAACGCCTACTGATCACCCATTCTATTCTAATAAAAGCTCCAACCGGGATTTAAACCCTTCAAGTAAGGACTGGCAACATTAACACACTAACAATCGGGTGAAATAAAGAAAACGGTGTAAATGTCAATTTGGTAAAGGTTCAGTTTAAGTTGTTGCGGTAATAATTTGTTATGAACATTGAATTAGAAGATTTTCCTCACAACATAGTTCATGGTTTATTACCGTTGATAGAATTTTTAGTATTACCATAGAAAGTTTACCGTTAGGCGGTCATTTGACACTCATGAAGCCGTCAGTAAATTTTATCAGTCATGAATGATATAAATCCATTATTCACGATTCGTGACTGGAAAAGTCACCAGTCACCCCTTTAGACGACAGCTTATTCATCAGTAATTAATAAACTTGACTACCAGCAAACTGATAGCAAAACCTACTGTCTAATGGCCGCCTTACTGTTGTGTTGTGTGTTGTAAAGGGTATTAGACAGTATTAAAAACAAAGTGCCAAATTTCATTCTTAAGCACCTGTACTTAGGATGAATATTGGCAGCGGGTTTTATTATTATTACAGACAAAATAAGGAAAAGGTAAATAGTTCTGGGACAACGCGCCTGGGATTGGCGGAGAATAAAATGATTTCACATATAGGTAAACTTCCGGTCAGTAACATTAGGGGTGTATTCTGTAATATACCAGTATACTGGCCAGTGCTAATGACGTCATGGATCGACGCTATACTGGTGAATTGTTCCGAAATATATTGGCCAGTGCACTGACGTCATAAACCGATGAAATATTAATAATAGCGCGAATAAAGAAGATTTTTTATTCACCTCATCAATTAAAAGGAATTCTTTTTGTTCGGAATGCTATTATTGTCCTTTAAATAAAAAAGAAATAAATTCGAATGCATCTCACGCACGCTCGGTCATAAGTCGTATTCGTTTTCCCGGTAAAAATATGGTAGCATACCAGTACAATATGTCGTCGGCTTCGTGACGTCATTACCACTGGCCAGTATACTGATGTACATTTCGGAATACACCCTAGTTGTACCGATTTACGTTTAAATGACAGCCGTGTGACGTCACACACTGCTAAACAAGCCATATTACCGAGAGAAACGTTTCAGCGGCATATCTGAAAACAGTATTTTTAATTTGTTTTCTTTGCTGAACAGTCTATTAACACAAATATATAATGTGAGATCCTTTAAATTTTTTTGTCAAATATCCTTCTTCTTCAACCTTTATCCACCCGCTGCTGGGTATAGGTCTCCTCCATGGCGCGCCAATTTGCTGGGTGTATTATATAGATAACTGCATGACAACACCGTTTGGTCGTATAGAGCGAGACGCGAGCGAAGAGAGTGCAGTATGGGGCGCGGGCGCCGCGGGCGGATTGGCCAGATTCCGGGCGCCGCATAAACTGCAAATTGTGAAACCCATGGAGGGATCCCTCACTTTGCACACTTGGGCGCAACTGGCCAAGCCCACAATGTCTGGTGAGTCTTAGATTATATGAGCTTTCTCTTAAGTACGAGGCCTAATTATACCTAATATAAACATTATTCGTATTTATACCATATAGCCCAAGCAATAGAGTAAAGTCACATTACAAAATTTTACCACACTAGTTTTGTTACGGATGTTAGAGTAGGTCATAAGAAGCTTAAGTTTAAAATTCGGGGAATGTAGGGTGGTCTAACTGGCCGCCATATTGGAAAACGTGTTTATCGCTATATCTCCGAAATTATTAACTTATTATTTTACGGAAAACATGTACAGTGCTTTTTTGTTTATTACTAAATTTTCTAACTTTTTTTGTCTATAACTTTTAATATAACTCTTACCGTTTGTTTATTTGACCATGTTGGTAGTTTTTATTTTATAAAACTTAAAAAAATGCCATTAATTTATAAAGAACGTCTTATAAAAGTTATTGGTCATTAAATTCCCTACAACGTTGAATAAGACTTTGCTTTTATTAAATAAATAGTTTTAAAGTTTGAGTCGTTAACGTAGCAATGATGCAGTATCTCAGAGTTTTGTATTTGAATAATGATTTTGAATTGTGTTGAATGAGATCTTTAAAATTATAAAGTTACAAAAACTGTACTGCGCCCAAAAGACATTAATGACCTTGCTGTTCCTACTATATTTCTTGAGTGTATCGTTTTCGTAGTTCCGTAGCAGAGTGATTAGTCTTAATTTTATTTAAACGATAGCAAATAATCATAATACATTTTATTTTCAATACCATATAAGATAATAACTATTACAATTTTTAATTGGTTTTGCACTGAGCGTTGACAATATTATATACCTAATGACCTAATGATCGTATTTATATAACACAACATGGGAGGTGTAGTATGATAGCCGCACAATTCTGTAACGTTTATTTACAAAGCAATACAGACTAGTTCTAGCCAAAGTGATGGAAATGTTTATGATCTTATCAAGTACAATAATACCAACTGAAAACCGTTTCGTTTGTTCAGTTTACTCAAGTACCTACTATCTATTTAGTCCCCACTTTAACTTCAAATCTATCAGTCACTCACTTGTTGAGTTGATAAAAGCAGATAACACAGCTGTCTTTGTTGAAAACGTTTTGCAGGCGCCAAATCAAAGGTCTCTCAACGCCAAAAAATATAAATTTAAGGATATTGTTTAATATGTACATATTGAAGATTGATTATGCTACTGAATTCGAACTGTTCAAAGCCGAGTTTATTTATTGTAGGTATTATATTATGTTTAAATTTGTAGGTTTATTGGAAGACCAAGAAGGAGTGGGCGTACGAGGTTCCCGGTCGGCAGCCGCTTTGGGTTTGCGGGTGTACCGATTATCAGACGTGGAAGAAGACGATGACATGCCTCGACTTCCTCACTCGAGTTACGTCTACACTTTTACGAATAGGTAAGCTAACTTTAAGCCAAACTTTAAACCGTTAACTAAGTTTTGTGTAGATTTTGTTGAATGTTGAAAGTTTTTGTTAATTGTGTAGGGGAAAACACGCGTTTTTAATTGATATGACTTCTTTTTGCTAAATATGATGAATTATAATTATTTTATCTACCAACCATTTCGACATTTCGATGGATTTTAATGTCAAAATTTACAACTCTTAAAGATTACAAAATTATTTCTATTAAGTTCTAATTAGAATATTAAAACAGCAAACAATAGGGGTGTTTAAAACCAGAATAAAATGATGTGGCTAATGTAGAATCGACACAAATTGCAAACTCGCTTGTGTATGCGACTGTCGCGCCTGCGCACGTCTCATTTAACGGTTTTATTCCACGCACTTTTTTCCACGGATTTTTTCTTACGGTTTTACTATCACATTTTTTTCAGTTCGGTCGCGCAACAAAATCCCTATCCTCTCCAAGCCTGCCGTAAGGAACTTCGTCGCGCCTGCGCACGTCTCATTTAACGGTTTTATTCCACGCATTTTTTTTACGGTTTTACTATCACATTTTTTTCAGTTCGGTCGCGCAGCAAAATCCCTATCCCCTCCAAGCCTGCCGTAAGGAACTTTCGTTCCAATAATTAATATAAAAAGACATTGACCCATTGTCTGCCGCGCATATCCTCAACTGCTAACTTTATTGTTACTAATGCGGCGATTTATGATGATGCACATTCTAATTCGTTTCCTTTTTTTCGCAGTACCGTCCTCCATCCGAACGACGGCAGCCTGGCGAGTTCTAACGTCAGCAGTGTGTGCAGTAGCGGCATGAGCAGTCTATCCAGTAGCGTTTTAGGAAGCGCGTGGAGTTCACGCCTCACGTCGCGCAGATCATCAGCGGCGGTGTCTCCTGTACTGTCGCGCAGGGAGTCCTTCTGTCAGTCATCGAGAACACATTGGTCGCCGACGGCAACGCCAGCGAACAGTCCCCTCCTCGGCTCGCCCGAATCCTCCCCTCCCCCCACTCCCCGTCCAGGCGACGCGCCCCCCTCCCTTCACTCGTTAATAGCCAGCGGAACCTCTATCCTCCGCCGTAGGTATCTCCATTCGCCAGCAGCAGACGGCTCGCCCGCTCCGCTTGCGCTACAAACACCAGGCTCCTTATACACTGGTCTCGTACATCGCAGTCCGATGGAGCAACTCACGTGCCTCAAGCGAACGCTACGGTCACCCGCAGCGCTGCCCCAAGAAAGACAAGACTCGAAGGAAACGCCTTTGGGAGTTCCCGCGCATCCCGGCGAAGGCGCGTTGGAAAGCACACCGAGTTTGGGGCGACGGCGAGCGAGGGCCCCGCGACCTAGGACAGATTTGGGGACAGTAGACGCCCCCCAGCCCCCAGCGTGCCCCGTCGCTCGATCCTCCCCACTAGGTACGCTCAGTATCCTCTTCGGAAGGAAAGGTGGCTTATTATAAACGCGGGACGAACCAGCATTTGATATTGAATACGGTTTAGCTGTAAGCGATCAACTCCTTTGAGTGATTTTGAATCGTTACGAAGATTTTTTTAACGTTTTGATTAGCTACAATTTCTATAGGTGAGATTTTATTAAGTTTTGACTTGTATTTTTGGTAGCCGTTTTACTTCTCTTTAGCGAATTAATTGCTCATGTGCATTTATTAATGTGGCTGGCCGACAGTTGTATTTGCGTATATATGCACTAAGAGCTCTTTTGCGAATCTTTTGAAAAAGAAAAGTGACTCATTTTTTATTACGAGCATTTTTTCATATTGTCTCTCTAAAACATTCCCAGAAAGGAGAAGCTGATTCTATTGTTAAAGCTATTGAAAATTGAAAAGAATATAACATTTTAATGATAAACAGAGGGAATAGTCACGAGGACGAAACATACACTGAATTGGTGTATATTTTATTTTACGATTATTATCAGCTTTATTTTAGCCAATTGTAAGCATAACAATCATTTCAATTATTTTATAGTACGAGAAACTTAATGTTGAGGTAAACAAATTAAAATGAGCAAAATCTCGTGCCGCTGAATAGCCTGTAGTATTATTATAATTCAAGGTTGTAATTATTACTTAGATTGATTTAATAGTGAGACTTAATAATTAGATTTTGTAGATGCTTTCAAGGAAGAAAATTGATCGAATTCCTAATCATTTCTATATATAAGCTATATAATAATTTGTTTAGTCATGAATATTTATTGTAAATAATCAATTTTCCATTAATTTAGAAGAGTACAAATTATTTATGTTTAATTAAATGAAGGGGAGTGTGTTAAGATTTTGTAACGGTAGTTGAATGTTTTGTTTTTGCAATATGTTTAGATTTGTGTGTTGTTGAAGTTTGTCAAATGCGCCTGTAGCCGATGTAAATATAATAACGGATAGTGCCGTCAAGTTGACATCAATAAAATTGTAATAGGTTTTGCTGATTAAATTTGTTCATAGGTGATTGGAATAAATATTTGCTACTAACAAAGGGGCCGAGTAAAATAAAAGGTGCATGCCGTAGTTTAAGTAGTATTGATTTCAATAACAAAATGTTCCACTAGCAGATTAAATTGTGCTGCATTATCAGAGCTGTTTTCAAGGCATGCGGATTATACTTAATTTTATTTGTTGTTCACAATAACGTTAGGTTACTCTAATTGGTGCTACATAGTTATTATTACTGCAGTGATGTCCGAGTGCGCTTTTATTTTGGCCGCACACTTTATTATAGTTATCCACTAATTTCGAAAAAATAAATATAGTTGTGTTACAGCTTCAATCCAAACAGGAATGTACCGAAACGAAGGCCTGAAAACATAATTCAGGAAAGTCCTATTTTTGTATATTGTAAAATGAACCTTGTCAATAATTATTAATGACTATTAGGAGAATTATTTCGATTAAATAAAATCTAATGGATGGAAGATCTTATGGTATTGTAGTTTTGTATGGTCCTATAAATTGTTTTTACATTATTGTAATAGAAATGAGGAATAGCAACATGTTAGGCTGTGAAGCGATTGAGTGCGTGAACAGTTGCGTCGCCAAAATGTATGTAACATCACAATTGTAGGCACAAACGATTAGATTTAAGATCAAACTTGTTGAGAATTGACGATACCAACAAAATGATAATGATTGTAATTATATCAGAAATATAATTTATTCAATGACATTGTCTTTGTTTTTGAATAAGACTGTTTCTCTTCTTAAAAGAACCACCAAGCCACTCCCACAATCTCCACCTCCCTGCACCGCGCTCCTAAACAGACTTTATACCATATTGGTCGTCGGTACCAGTTGATGTAGGTACCTGTGATTGGCCTGTGTTATAATTTGAAACGGTTATCGACTGCCAACTCGAAACGAACGCGTAGTATACTACGCAAACGCGTGGACCAAGCATGACCACAGACTTGGACACTGAGGCCTAAGTGCGAAATTATCGTATCTTCATTAAATTTTATATGGAAGGCGCCAGCTTGTTCTTACGTCTGGTCCGGCCTTAGTTTTCATTGAAACTGACGGTGCGATACGGTTACGGAGCTGTCAAAGTTCGCACTTGTGTATAGATACCTATCTACTATACTGGTACTTTATAAAGTACAACTCGGGCTTCTTAGTCCGTCAGCGTATGTTTTAGGTCCTTCATATTGCAAGATTTAAACAATTTTAAATCAAACAAAAGACCAGGAATCTACTGTTTAGGGAACTGATTAGAAAACCATCAAGGTAATGTTTATGTATGTAGCACATTTGCTATTATTTGTGAATGATGCCACCAATCGCCTGATTTTAAGTTGAGTAAAGATTAAGGAGCTGAGTAAGGAGGACCTTCCGAACTTCAGAACCGACTCAGCGTGCTACTATTGTCCCAACAGTGACGCACACCACGAAACTAGCAGTGACTTGTCAGTTAAAATGAAGGGCAGTTAAAAATTTTATATAAAAATTTAATTGTTTCAAGAAAGACCGTATGATAATGGTCAATGTGTAATAAAGAAATAACGACATTAAAAACACCTGTTTTTATCTTATTTTAGGGTTCCATACCTCGTAAGGAAAAAACGGAACCCTTATAGGATCACTTTGTTGACCGACCGTCCGTCTGGCAAGACCCTTTTTCTCAGAACCGCGTGGAGGTATCAAGCAGAAATTTATATCAAATACTCAGGTCTACTATCCCTTGGAGCTGTGAAAAAACAAACTTCTAAGACAACGCAATCAAAAGACACAGCCGTTTATGCCGCACTCTACCGCAAATTTTTGAAACTTGCAATGGAATCAAATCCGGGTGCTTCCCATAAACTCAGAATGTTGAAATTTTGTACGAAGCAACATCTTATACACTGACGGAATAGGTAAATGGAAAATTGCGAAAACTGTAAATTTTTAGTAATATATATTTTTTAATATTTTTTATAGACCTACAGATTTATACGGAACCCTCGGTGCGCAAGTCCGACTTGCATCCGCCCATATGTAATATCCCATACGTATTAGTTAGATCGACAGTGGTAGGTACAATAAAATATTAAAAATATTTTTAATGTAGGGAGGGATTGGTGGGGATGTTATTTTTTTCTCTTGTCTATTGCCTGTCTGTAATTTGCTATATAACGCCGTACTCCGTTGAGGCCTGAAAGTCACCACGAGACATAACATCACTGTTTGTATAAAACTTTTCTTTTATTTGATAAGTGAAATCCGTATGAAATCATTCCTATTGTATATAGTAGGAATGGTTGATTTACTGAGGTTCTCATAAGGTGGGTATCTACTTCCCCAGAAGAATCATGGACATATTACTCTTTCCTTCCTAAAAATGTTTAAACTATTTATTTATACATAGCACTAAATAGTAAGAGTATTAAAAACTGCATCAAATGGCCAATTCAATCACAGTGAAATTCGTCGCTAGCTATTCTACATAAAGATCATCGTTTCATGTGGTTTTGCCATGGTTTTGTTTACCTTGCCCAATCAATCCCCAAACCAGCCCAACCCAAATAGAACCTTTTTTATTCTATGTTTGTTTATACTCGTTTGTTTCCATGGTTGTTTCTATGACAACGAAAGAGTCAACACGATATTTACCAAAAAAAAAAAATTATTTTGTAAAGTGTAAATTAGTGATAAAGCCAGACTAGAACAGTGTTAATTTTCTCTTTTTTCATAAACAGAAGAAAATGACAGAGCAAATGAAGTTTATAGTGAAAGAATTAAATGCCGATTTGGACAGGAACTATGACTTAATCAAGTTCGATGCTTTGAATGAAAAGGCATTGTTACAGTTGTTGGTGGATTTACTAGTAAATTTCAACGCTGGTGAAAAGGTTCGTAGAGCTTACGCTTAAACTAGATCCAATTACCGCTAAATGTGCGATATAGTGGAGCTCGATGGAGTTGAGCAACTTTCAAAGTGGTCGGTCATTGGATGGGTGACCAAAAATGTACCGACTATCTCGAGCTCCTCCGTGCTTTGGAAGGCACGTTAAGCCGTTGGTCCCGACTGTATCTGCAGTCGTTAGCATTCACCATCCGCACTGGACCAGCGTGGTGGGTCATGGCCTTTTTTTTTGTTGGCGATAGAAAATGCATTTACGCACCGTACTGGCGTGTGTGGGATTCCCCGGCGCGGAACAACGCTGGTCCTACCCACTAAAAACCACCGGTACCCTCCTACGCCCATATGGTGGCGTCTCAGGATCGGCGCACCTTAGTGTGCGCCACTTCACTGGGATGCCCCCGGGCGACACGCCTCTGGAGGATTGCGCTAGGGTACTAGGCAATCCCCAGACGGGGTGGCCTATGCCGAATGGCACCAAGGGCACGCGGCGGCCAAGCCGCGCCCAGAACACCTTAGGGCCGACGAAGAACGGCAGTCACAGCTGCCAGCCTTCTTCGGCCCACTCGTCTACGTTGGAGGCGAGCGACTAGAGCATGCTCCTCCCGCTCCCTCTCCGCTGCCTCCTGCTGCTCCATCACAACTTCGCAGAAGGAGGCGGCAGCCTTCCATGCCCTCTCATTGCCAAGAATAGCTCGAACCTTACTTGGCAATGAGAGCGGTCCTCCGCCGAGCGCCACCATCAACGTGCGGCGCTCGTTTCGCCGGGCCGGGCACACGATCAGCGTGTGCTCGGCCGTGTCGTCGGGGGAGGCGCAGTGATGACACCGCGACAACTCCTCCCGACGGGCGACACGGTGCAGGTAGTGGCCGAAACACCCATGTCTGGTCAGTACCTGCACCAGGCGGTAGGTGAGGCTGCCCCGCTGGCGCCCTACCCACTCCTCCAACACCGGACGGATCGCCCCGATCGTCCGGTGGCCAGCGGCTGGGTTGGCGAGTGCCTCGCCCCATCAGCGCAGAGCCTCCCTCTGCGCCTGGGTGCGGACCCGTTCGATCTCCTCCCGAACGGGCCGTTCGCCCCGCTCTCTCGCCGCGGCCCTGTGTCGATGCACCTGGGACAGAACCAGGGCATCGATCTCCCACGGGAGCGTACCTGAGAGGACGCAGGCAGCCCCGTGGCTGACCGTGCGGTAAGCCCGCACGGCCCGGGCCGCGATGACCCTCTGTGGTCTCCGTAAGAGGGCCTTTGTGCGGGACGAAAGGCACTTCGCCCACACCAGGGCTCCGTACAGTGCCATCGACCTTATCACTCCATTATAAAGTCGACGGCACGACGCCCTCGGCCCTCCCACATTGGGGAGGAGCCGTTCGAGGGGCCTAAAATGCTCCTCGAACCTCCACCGGGGATCCAGGGTCAGGCCGAGATACTTCATGTACATCTCGACATGAACCTGGATCCCCTCAACCCGGACACGGAGCCCCGGTGGGGTCCTGCGTCTTGGGGCATGGAACGACATGGCATGGCATGGATGCGTCGGACGACCATGGAGGTGCCGCCTCCTCCTACTCCTTCGCTCTCGCCGCGACAAGGGTGTCGTCCGCGAAGCAGACGACATCTATTCGCGGCAGAGCGAGCCACGCAGGACCCAGTTGTACCCCAGGTTCCATAGTAGAGGGCCTAAAACGGAACCTTGGAGCACACCCGCCGCCACTGTCCACGACTGGACGCGCCCCTCCGCGTCCTCGTAGAGAACTGACCGGTCCCGCAGGTAGTCCCGTACAAGGGCGCGGAGGTAGAGGGGCACTCGGTGGAATTCGAGCGCCGCCTCTATGCACTCGTGGAGGATGGTGTTAAACGCGTTCGCGATGTCCAGGGACACCGCGATCACCACCTCCCCCCGCGCTGTGGCCACCTTAGTCCACCTTTTGAGGTGGCCTATCGCGTCCATCGTGGACCGGCCGGTGCGGAAGCCGTACTGGCAGTCTGCCAGATTCGGCCCCCTGCCCTCTATGTGCTCGATGATCCGGGAGGCGATGATTTTCTCAAACGCCTTCCCGGACTCATCGAGCAGCACCACCGGCCGATAGCCCGCCGGAGAGTCCGCCGGGCGGCCCTCTTTACGGAGCAGGCAGAGCCGATGCATACATCCAGCACCGCGCGGAATCAGTCCCCCAGGGGGCCCAAGGCGATGGCCATCACCTTGGCTGGGGCCCCATCCGGCCCCTCACCATCCCTCACCATGTTAAGTTCAGCGTCCGACACGGAGGGACCAGCGGCCCACGCCTCCGGGGCGGAACCGGAGGCCATTCTGGGGGGTGCGAAGGGTCCGGGGTTCGGAAAAAGCGTCCCCAGTACCCTTCGCAACAACCCTGGCTCCATACAGGACGTCGAGGGGGCCGCCGAAACGAACTTACCCCTCACCGCCCTGTACGGCTTCCCCCAGGGGTCGGCGTCTAGGATAGCTATGTAACTATCCCAAGCAGCGACCTTGGCCCTGCAGATGGCAGTTCGCAGGGCCCTGTGGGCCACATTGTACGCCCGGCGGAGGCTCATCTCCTCACCGGGCGTACTCCGGGCGCGCCTACGGCACCGTAGGTAGGCGCGCCTGGCCCCCATACTGGCGGTACGTAGGATCGTGAGCTCCTGCGTCCACCAGTATACCTGCCCCCTGCCCCGTGGGCAGGCCCGCGCTCTCGGCATGGCGGCACTGCAGAGAACGTTGATGTCGTCTGCGAACAGGTCCGCCATGCCGTCGGCATCCCCAGCGACAGTGTCTGGCACTTCATACCAAGCCCGCACTGTCGCCGCCTCCTCCGCCACATCAGGCTGGAGGCGTGTGAGCATCCAGCGCCTAAACGGTGAGACGCCCACACGGGGGCCCAGGTGAATGGGGGCCCCAGGGGATGCCGTGGAGACCTCATATCGGAAGTATCTGTGGTCCGATAGGGTCTCCATGTCCACCACCACCCGCCAGTCCCGGACTCGGGCCGCGAGCGGTGGGGTGGCAAAGGACACATCTATTAGAGACGTGCCCTGCCAGCGGGCGCAGGTCGGGGTGGTACCTCGATTGAGGATCTGGAGTCCCAGAGTGAAAGCCCAGGACTCCAGAATACCACCCCGAATGTCAGTGCGGGGTGACCCCAACGCCGTAGACTTGGCGTTGAAGTCTCCTGCCACCAGTACCTGACGGGGGGCCGCGCGGTGGACGACCCCTTCGACCGCAGCCAGAAACCGCTCAAAATCGGCTCTGCTGCGTTTGGGGGAGAAGTAGGTCGACACTACCACTACTTGTCCCCATTGGGCCGCCACATACCCCTCGCCTCTTTCCACGAAAACGAGGGAGGAGCCCACGCCAGTAACCACGACGGCCGCGGAGCCATTCGCCGCCCCCATCCACTTGTCGGACGGGGGGATGCGGTACGGCTCCGAGATGAGCACCACGTCCACCCTCCACTCCGCCGCCACCTGATACAGGAGATCCTGTGCCCCAGCGCAGTGGTTTAAATTAATTTGTAGTATCTTCCCCGATGTTTAGGGTAGGGTATTATTAATGGACATCGGGGTCGCTACAGAAGCCGAAACTGACTGTGCGCTGCTGGACCCTGCACGAGGTGCGGCCTGCGACGCGTCCCTGGACATGAGGAGGGCGGCCCCTGACCAGCGGTGGGTTACATTTGGCCCCCGCCATCCGGTGCCCGGCTGCCAGCCCTTGGCTTTATGCCCCTCCTTGCCACAGCGGTAGCACAACCCGCTGCGGTCCTTTTTGGAGGGGCATTTGGCCCTTGGATGCCCGGGCGCCAGGCACCTATGGCACCTCATTGGGCGCCGATCCGTTCGTTCTTCGGCTTCCCCCCCTTTCCCATTGCTATCCACTCTCCCTCAGCCACCTGTGGCGCACTCCCGCTGGGAGTCGGGTCAGCCGCCGGCCTCTCCTTCCTCACAGGAGGAGCAGTGGAAGTGGGAACCGCTGGAGTTGCAGGATCCGCCTTCTTCTTACCCTTGCCCTTGCCTTTGCCTTTGCCCTTGGCCTTCTCGGGCATGTTGGCAGGCGGGGAAGGGTGGTAGGGGCATTCGTACCGCGCAATCGTCGGCGGTTTCTGTGCTGCGGCCTTTGCGTCTGCAGCCAAGAGCGGGCGGCGCGGTCTCTCGGAGGTGGGCAGCAGCCAGCCATCGACCTCCAGGCCCTCCAACCTGGCCTGGAGCATATTGCTGAATCGCTGCACCAGGGAGCTATGCTCCCTCCTCAACTCCTCCATCTCCCTCCTTACTAGGGTGACATCCTCCCCTCCGGAGCCCCGAGGGGTATCCACAACAATTGGCGCCGCTGTCTCCTTGCGGCGCCCTACTCTCGACTCTTCGAAGGCTCTTCTGAAAGCGGCGAGCTCAGCGGTGACTTTGCTGAGCTCTTCTTGCAGGCGCTTGTTATCTGCCTGCAACCGCTTTGCCAAGGACTCGACCACCGCCAGCAGGGAACCCGTGCCAGTTTTTATTGCCTTTTGGCACGTTCCCTTAAGGTTGCGCGACTTCTTCGCCACAACCTTCACCACCTCACAGTGCTTCTGTGCCGCCTTCACCAGGGCATCCGTGGTCATTCTGCCCGGTTCAATTTTGGCCTCGCCTCCGCTGTCAGTCTCGGCATCCGTGTACTCGATATCGGAGTTCGAGTTACATCCCGCCTCCTTCAGCTCCTTACGGGCCAGTGACAACTCTGCTCCATGCGACAGCCCACTACCACCGCCTCTTCCCCTCTACTGCCTTTTTTCCCCTTAAAAACTTTCGGGTGCAGTTCCTTCGGCAGAAGGTCTTTTAGGAACTCTGCAATCCTCCCCCGCCGCCCGCGACCGTATCTCTCTCCGTCGCATCCGTCGTCTCAAGGTCCATTTCCGAGCTCGCTCTCGAGCACGTGCCCGAGCCAGCCAGCGACCCTGATACCGTCACCGGTACCTGTTTCGAAGTTAGACCAGATCTACTCCTGGTCACCATTC